GCAATTAAAATGGAAGAAGAGTTATCATCAATTAATAATGGATTAAAGCAATCAAAAGGTATGTCCTTTGCTCTATAGTTTGTTTATAAAAGACATGTACTTAGAATTTAATGAAGAGTTAAAAAAAGGATTACAAACAGTACTTAAAATGAGTAGGGCAAAAGATGCAGAAATCGAGATGTTGAAAAAGGAAAATAAAGGTGAGGGAGAATTATTTTTATATTTAATGTAGCCTCTTTCATCTTCTAAAGAACCATTAAGCATAACAGGTAATTTCTATCATTATGCATTAATTTATTTGCATGTTAGAAACAATGGAAAAAGAATCTGCATTAAATCAATACAAAGAACTAGAGTGTAAGCTTTAATGATCAGTTTTGTGTGATATAAACATATTACGTAGTGAGCAAAGAAAAATTTACAACTGAAACAAGGTCTGAATTTAAAGCTCCATCAACAGCAGCAATTGGTTTTCTGTACACAACATTCATTGTACTTCTTGTGGCTATTTGTTGGCAGCCAGATCCTAGCATATTTATTAGTATGAACATAATCTTACTATGTATTGCATTAATTATAATGCTTTATAGGTTCTTTACCAGGTGTTGCAGTTATTGCATCACATAAATTTGTAGTAACAGGTGGTCAATCCTCCCAGTTACACTGAGATGAGTATGGTTTGATGCTGGATATTCCAAGTGATGCACTTCCTCGTGGTTTTCTGGCTGAGGTTGTCATTCATGTTAGTGTGTCTGGTCCATATATTTATCCTGATCCAAAAACCTGGAAACCAGCCAGTGCTGTATACTGGATATCAAGCAGTAAAGAATTTGTTAATCCTGTACTACTGGGTATCTGGCATAATGTAAAAGGAAGTGTAAATAGCTCATCAATCAAAGTTTTAACAGCTGAAGACACCCCACAGAATATGTCATGTATATTCAATGAGTTTTTGGGTGATTTTACTGTCAAAGGATCTTATGTCTATTTCAAACTCACTGGTTTTAGTGGTAAAGAAGTTGTCACCTGTTTGGATGTCAGAAATTTTCAAGGTTCTTTATTCTACAAAATGTCTGATGCTGGTAACAAGTGGAAATACAGCCTTGTCATTTACAATTCTCATACTAAAGGTGTGACAAGAAGTGTAAGTTAATTGCTTTCTTGTCTTTTAATGGCTATTGTTTAGTTATTTGATGGAACACAATATGAAGACTGGATTCCAGATATTAAATTTGATGTAAAATTTGAAGAAAACAGCAAAATTTTAGAGCTAAATATAACTCCAGATCCGCCACTAGAAAATTGGATCATTCGAGGAAGAATCAATCCACTTTCTGTGAGCTATGTAACTGTAATTTGTGATTTTTATATAATATTTCTAATTATAGTATCACAAGGATGCCCTTCAAAGTCAGGGGCATGTAGTCAGTAACATGAGATTTGATATTCATTGGAATGGCAGTAGTGACTTACTTACTGATGACTATCTAAACTTTCCATTAAAAGGAGCCGAATATCCATTATCTATCACTGCAAATCCTAGTAGAAGTAAGACACTAATACTCTAACATCATAATCTTATACTACTGTATAGTTGATCATAAGACTAGTGCCACTATCAAATTTACAAAGAAAAAAGGGGGTAAATTTATTATGCGTTTTACATGCTCACAATGCTATGTCTGATAATTGAAATAACCATTGTGAGTACCCATAATTTTATCATAGGCATGAAATTAGACATCAAGGATTTTAATGACATTGATTTAATATTAAAGAGTAGCAGTTTCGATAATAGTAAATGGAGTGACCTTGGACTGAAGTTAGGTTTATTTCAAACAAGGCTAAACACGATTAAAAGTGATAATTCTCAAGATGCTAAAGCATGCCTGGGAGAGACTTTGGGGAAATGGCTAAATCGAGTTGATGAAGTTGATAAGAATGGAGGAGCGACTTGGGAGGCATTGATGGATGCTCTTCAAAAGATTGAGCAGAAACCAGTAGCTGAAAGTAAGTCTGTACTAAATATCTACTTTATTGCTAATTTGCTTTATATCTTTATCATAGAAATAAAAGACTATATTGAATAATTTTTTAAGTAACAAAAATTTAAGTTGTATTTATATTTTATGTTTGCAAAGGAGTATTGCAATTGGCAAAGTCTCTAAAGATTAATGAGATACGCTTGGAAAACTCACATTGGATGAAAAGCACAAACAAGCATGCATGCTCTGATCTAAAATGAAAATGAATCAACTAGGCTTTTTATATAAAAATGCTGATAGAACTCATTTTTATTTTCAATTTTGTGTATGTTCTCTGTTCTTTTCATTTGCTATTGTTATGAAGAATAAGAGGTGTGGCATATTTATAAATTAATGGAAGCACACAAGAAAGTGTCTTTGATGCATCACTTCAGCCAGTGCTCAATCACTGGCAGAACTTGTACTCACAAACAACACACTCAGTTGCCTTTGATCTTCATCATACTAACATTGATACTGATGGAGTAATGATACTAATGGAATCACTCAAGACCAATAATACACTAGAGAAGCTCTGGCTATTTAATAGTGGGCAACATAATAGACTTATTATGATTATAAAGTATTATTTTTATAGGCAGATATTTATTTTAAAATTGTTAATAATTCAATACAATTAAAATGTACAGTACTTTTTTGTACACAACAGTCTTTGCAGATAAACGCCCACTTAATAAGGGTGGGGCTCATTTTATGGGTAGGGCTCATCATGGAAAACTCTTTCTGTTGTTTCTTGTCATGTAGTCCAACCACAAAGGAACTAACGGAGCATGTTGATGTTGGTACTAACTGGTTTATACTTGGTACAATGCTTGACTTGGATCAGAAACGATTGAGAGGTATTGAAGCACAAGCTGGCCACACTGACACTCACAAGATGATAGAGATGTTCAATCTATGGCTGACCACTACTCCTACTGCTAGTAGGAAAGAAGTGCTAGATGTATTGAGAAAAAGAGTAGTGGGAGAGAATAAAATAGCTGATCAATATGAAAAGTATTTGAAGGAATTACATAATACAAATTGTAAGCCAATCTACATCTGTTTGCTAACTACCGGGTATTTGTCCTTCCTTTTAGATACACCACCATCTACTGAAGCAGTTTCTATTTTTCAAAGGAATATTCAATCATTGAATGAAGCTCTTGTCTCTCCTGTACAAGTGTCTCAACTGTTATTCTGTAAGAGATGTATAAGTGAAGCTACTCTGGATGAAATGGAGAGGATAGATCAGAGGAGGTCACTGGATGACAAGAAGACCACTCTATTGACTGCCATGCAAGAAACAGTGTCTAGCAACTACAGGAAACTTAAAGATATTGCTACAGTGCTGTCTGATGTTGAACAAACAAGAGATATAGCCGATAATATCATGACTGAATTTAGTAGGACATTGAATATTTTACCACTTTATGATTACTGTTATGATTATAGAAGAGAAAATTCCTCAAGAGGATGTTAGTACAGTAGTACAACCACAGGAGGGAGTAGGTGGTAATGAAGATCGTGCTAGTGATATATTAAGGAATAATTACAGTGCTCTCTCTCAGTCAATTACTGAACCAGTTCGTGTGGCAAAGTTGCTTCATGAAGAGGTTATATCTGATGAGGCTCTGTCTTGTGTCATGTCTACCAGAGGTTCTGTGTCTGACAGTAGAGCAGTTCTCCTCAAAGCTGTACGAGATGCTGTTCACTCCAATTACAAACACCTGGAGTTGTTTGTTATTGTATTGAGGAAGTTCTCAGAGACTGCTCATATTGGAGATACTATTTTTCAAGAATACAGTAAATTAATTTGAATAGATATTTTGATATTATCATTTCTAATTTAGAGCATCATTTCAGCAATGATGAAAATATCGAAGAGATGGAGACTTACTTAACTGAAAGTATATTTTAAATGTGGCAATGTTTAATTTTTACATTTGGTTTAATTTAGAAAGAGGTTCTCAATATATATCAAGTGACTCAGATTGTAAGAACACTCATTTTGATTTAAAATTAATTTTTTATTTTATTAAAGCTGAAGGCTCAGCTATTCTTGGTCATTGGGTACCTTTTCCTCATAAAATGAGAAAAGAATTTAAAGAAATGCGAATAAAGTTTGGATCAACTTTTTATAGGGTACGTCTTCTTTTCTCCAAGAAATGGGCTAAGTCACAGAAAGACATCAATAAAGTGAAAACACTGCTTGCTGATACTTATCCTGATCTCAAGTCTGAGCTTTCTGTTGCTAAAACTATTGATAGTGTTCTGGATGTGGTAAAGAGAAAGTGTAGCATTGTTGATGTTCATCTTCTTGAAGTAATAGCTGTTCATTTTAAAGTAAAAGAGGCTATAAAAATAATCATAAAACATAAAGAAGCAGCTAAAGAATTCTGTGAATCAGTATCTGTGAGTCTTTCCAGTAACGAAACATTGCAAGCAATCCCTATGCAACACTTGCCATGTGAAACCGTAACATTTGTCCTGAGCTGGGATGCTGATGACACCACCCTGCAAGATGTCTATGATGTATTGTTGGAGTTAGGTCCTCTGCCAAATTATCATATAAAAGTAACTGATGTTTGTAAAGGTCGATCAGTTGTAGTAACCTGCTACTGTCCTGCTGAATACACTACCTTACTGATAATGGCTGTCCTTGGTAAGATAGAGATACTGCAAGAGAAAGGATTGAAGGAGTTCAAAGTAGGCAACTGTACTATATGGAACAAGGTATAAATAATTTTAATAGTATTAATAATTTACTTCATTGAATTAAAAGGTATTACCAGTAATGACAACTGAAACTCCTAAAAAGACTGACAAACTTACCAAAGAGACAGTCAATAATTATGAAGGTAGTAACCTGTGTAATATTCAGTGTCTGTATTATACACATAGATATGGAGAGAGAACTGTTGTCAATGAGGCAACAGTTAGCTAAGAAGGAGAAACAAGTACAAGAACTAATAAAAGAGAGAGACCAACCAGGTGCCTATAATTCGTACATTAAGTCACTCATCCCTTTGTTAATTTGGACTGTCATTATTGTTTATGCTAAATTACTTATGTACATAGCCTGGCCCCACCTCTTTATTGCATGGAGGTGGCGCAGAAGCCCCATGCAACGAAGAGGCGGGACCAGACTATTATGTACACAATAGCTGTAATGTTTTAAAATTGTTAGTTTTATGTATTTAAAAATTATTCCTTTAAATGTAGCTACATATTTGGAATTACACAGGGCTAATAATTAGGGAGGTGCAGATTATTCTGGCATAAAAATGAGCATAATAACTAGGTAGAAGAATACAAGAATTATGCCAGCATAATTGGGAAATATCCAGAAATCTCTAGCATAAAAGGCAAAATATCCTGAATTTAATGGTTAGAGAGATCACTGAGATGTCTGAACCTTGGAGATCAACAAAATTTTTTGAGTTTTCACTTCTGTTGCACCTTTAGGCCATGCATAATGCATCCATTAATTAATTTTTGCTATGATAATGTATGTTTTTGGTTGGTTTTCAAGCATAATTGAGAGCATAATGTACTATTCTTGCAGAATAATCATGACATTTCATGAGCAATGCTGCATCAAATAATTGAAGCATTAGTGAGCATAATCTGCATGAGCTTACTAATAATAAAGCTCATTGTAATACCCTTCAATCTTACATTGTTTTTAGCTAAGGATTAACTTTTTAAATATTATGAACCTATATATACATAATAGTATTAAATTGTACAGATGATACGGATGAGCTGAAAAGAAGTCTTGTGAAAAAAAATCAGGAAATTGATCATTTGAAGGTTTCTATCAAAAAGAAAGATGATGGTAATGTTTACTTTGGTAGCTTTGTTTTATTCATTAAAATATAGAGTCAGTTTCTAAGATTCGAGAATTACAAACTACTTGTAAGTTAAAATAGACTCAAACGATTTTGTATAATAATATGATGCTATTGCATAATGCATGTACATGTTGCTTTTGTCACAGGTCAATATGCAACTGAGTCATCAAAAACTCAAGGCATCAGTGAGTTTGTTATTGGGAAGACTGAAGTGACATTAGGTAAGATGAGTATTTTTATCAATAATCGAATTAATCAATAATCAATAATGATTATTGAATCGACCATGCTAGCTCAATTTATTTTTTTAGAATGTGTAGCTGAATTGCAGGTACAGAAGAGAAAGAATAAAGCATTGATGCTTGAGAATGAAAAGCTTATATCTGAAATTAAGAAGAAAGAAAGAATACCTGGTACGTAAAATTTATCATAGCTCTACTGGTAAGGAAGTGACAAGTGTGAAAATTTACTCCAATTAGATCTATATTTATGCTAATTTATAAATTTTATTGCATTACCTTTTTCTAGAACAAATTGAATCTGGCAGTAAGGTACAGTACATTACTGAATCATCATCCTCAAAGCGACATAATATGGAGGCCAGAGATGAGGTTTTTCTCAAGTGCTTAACCTTTAAAACTTTAAAGTCATTTGTACCATCTCTATTAACGAATGAATCTGTAAAGTGTCTCAATATACAGTCAACCCCATTAAAAGAGTTTGCCCACTATTTTTTCATGCTTATGACAGACAACTCTACATTGAAGCATTTATTGCTTACTCATGACACAATTAATGATGATGGGGTCAAAAGTCTGGCACATTCGTTGAAGGCTAACGTGACACTTACACTTCTGTCACTTGATTTCAATTCAGAGGTTACTTCTGAAAGCTGTAAATCACTGGCTGATCTTTTACGTGCAAACAAAACACTCCGTGTTCTCTCTCTCTCCCACACTAATATTGATGTGGATGGAGCACACTTACTGGTTGAATCACTTGAGCCCAATGATCCACTTAAGTCCAATGATTCACCTAAGCCCGATGATCCACCTAAGCCCAATGATACATTAGAATGGCTTGTATTAGATGAGCGACACAGAGAATCATTCCCTGGTGTCAACAGGATGAAATTTTGAAGATATTTTTATCACTTATACCAGGAACCCTGCTTATTTCTTATTTGAATGAAGTTTTAATTGTTTGTGTCTATTTGTTTGAAGCCATCTATTGTAAATATCTCTCGCATTAATGCGTGTTCAATTTTTGCATTTGTTGCCATTTTTTGATTTTTACTTTTTTGGTTTGTGCCTGTTTAAAGACATGAACTCTCAATCATTTTGAAGCCATGATCTATTAATATATTGTTATTGCATTTGTTGTATTTTTTACTTTTTAAAATGTAACTTAATTATTATTTGTCCTTGAGTGTTAGCTTCTTTATGCCTGCAACTGGAACTACAACAGCAGTAATAGTATCATCTTCTATACTCCATTCTCTTGTTCCTGGATCATAAATCAATAATAACTTGAGCTGCATATCTATAACAAAACCAAATATTTAGGAATACTAATCACCATAATTTCACCTTTCACTCCCTTTTTAATAATCAGTTCTTTATCAAGTGGTGGTTCACCATAATGTCCTTGAAAATGAAACGTCAACTGAACCTTCATTTCATCTGATGATGCACCAGCTGATGCTCTCCATGGAAACCTGATAGAGAAAGGCTCTTGCAACTGTTGAGGTCTTTCACCCACAGACACTGTAACCTTTGAAATTAAATGAAAATATTAAAAATTAAAAATTTTCTTGACTTACTCCAGTTAGGAATGAGAAATAGAATCCATACATGTCCTGTCCTTCTATTGATAATGAAACCTGTTCTTCAGGAGGTCCTTTAGTACTTTGTGTCACTTTAATGAAGACTCTTCTCTTCAATCTAAATTCAGGTATGGGCAGTCCAAGCTTCTCCATTACCATTGTGGATACTTCTTCACATTTAGCATGAATGCATAGTGCAGCCATACTGTGCAATGGTGTCTTTTGCAGGTTAACTATAACTAGCTTCTCTCCTCTCTCAGCGACACACTATAATGATGGTATCATGTGACTATCATGTGAGACGCTATACTCACTGACCTCTGGTATGTCGGCCGCTGGAGTGACAGTGAGACTGGATCCCATTGCTAAGCAAAGGTCTGCTACTTCACCTTCTTCTGTACCTCTTGTCAACTCACCTAGTA